AATCTCACCGCCAGTAAGCCCCGCCCCTTGTATATTCCATACAGTAATGGTATTCTGGATCTATCATTGTTGTTTATGCGACGATGCGGACATGTACACTGTACATGTAAACAGTGATATAATGGAGAACATTGATAAATTTTCTAAAATTAAACTGTACATTCGACGTAGATTTACATGTACATGAATAATTGATTTCCTTGATTTCTCGATCCCGAGAAATTCAAACTAATTTAACAGCGGGTTATAAGGTATTTATTTTTCTTAAGTTATGACGAGAAAATAAAAAAGAAGAGGAAGAAAAGAGTGTTGAATTGATTTTCAGTGTATCGAATGGTGTACAAGTGAAACTGATGAAAGAAATCTAAACTAAATACCTTTTAAATTCATGCTTTATATAGTTTAAAAATACATTTGTTATTCCTTAGGTTTTGCTAAATCGTAGTTTAAATGTTTGCTAAACACGTGAATTATGATATCGCATCTGTTAATTACATGTAACGTTTTGTACATCTGATATATTTAGATTTCATTTATAGTAGTTACACATTAAAAGTTCGTAACAAATATTAACTGGACATTTTCTAAAAAAAAAAAAATTACACTGTATATAATTAGGTCTTTTTCACGGTCAGAATTTTGGAGCGAGTATGATTTTTATCAGAATAAAGAAAAACTGTAGGCAAATAATATTTGTTCTCCCGACCCGATAAGAATATATAAATATATACCCCCTATTTCACACACACATTGTCTTTAAAAAATTCTAATTATTTAATTATTTTATTTATGATTTCTCAATTTATGTGTTACATTAAATTATTCAAAATTTATTGATCTTCTTAATCTTTTTGGGCATGAAAAAATGCGTGTATATGAAAATCTTCCTTCTGGATGCACAGATTGAAGTCATTCCGCCGTAATGGTATTAACAAACTGAATGACTTCACCAGAATGAACGTGAATTAGACCCAATTCCTGATGATACTTAACAAGATTATTCTTTCAATATAGTGTAACTCTACAATTAGTTTGCCTTACCAACTCTCGAACAACCCACATAACTATATAATGCTTACGCCTTTATCAATTATTTTTTCCAAATGATTAGTCTTAAAACATTTCAAATTAAATTTATAATAGATATCAATTCATATGTTGAAATATCCCTTCTATATTATATTTCTCTGAACATTCTTTGTCAAGTATATTTAAGCCATTTTGAGAGAATGAAATAATGTACAATTTACTAATTGTCATGATAAATTAGCGCAATTAATTCGTTCAATTGTGTAAATGGCACTTCACCTGAGTTATGATCTCTCTCTCTCTCTCTCTCTCGTCTTGGTGTTTCCTGTAACTATTTATATTTATTATAAATATTGGGCACGTTAATATTCCTGAACTGTTAGTATCTTGAAATGATGAAATTTTACAATAATTGTCGAAGACCAACTATGTTTCTTTTCTCCTCTTTTTGTCAGTAAAAATTGTAATACCAATATATTGATTTCAATGTTTATGCATTAACTTATGTATTTACCCAATTTATTTACCAAATGGACTTTAAATACTGGTATAAAAAAACTAAAGAAAATAAAAACGTAAATAGTCATGTATAATTCTACGTGGAAAATTAAAACAAATAATTAATTAGTTGCTTTAATAAAATAAGAAAATAAATATATAAATATAAAATTCAACACGGAGAATTAAAATAGATAAATATTAAAAAATATTTTAATTATCATTTTAGATTTACACAGCACATTCACACGTTTTGCTTGTATGTACAGTGTTTAGATTTATATCGAATTAAATCAACACGTTCGATCTTATATCCAGATCGACAGATCAATATGCTATTTTGCTTGGTTGATGCGCTGATTGGTTAATCGCTAATCCTGATTGACAGCTCTGTAAAGAAATACCATACCCGCGTTCGCTTCCTTGGACCGCTACTGAATTTTGGGTTCCCTCTCTGGGTCCGCTTTGGGTTCGCTCGGGGTCCACTACGGGTTCGCTTTGGGTCCGCTCCGGGTTCGCTCGGGGTCAGCCCTAGCAAACCCGGAGCGGACCCAGAGAGCGAACCCGGGGTCTGCTCTGGGTTCGCTTTCTGTTAGGTTGTGTCCGGTCGGTACTGTACATCTAAGGGTGCATTCTACTAGGCTGGCTTCAGAAGCTGAATCTGACCTACATTTTCCGGATTAGTGAAGAGGTTAGTTTTTTATACAGGTTTCATTTCCAAGTTACTTTGAGCTCTATGTTGAACAAACTTGCATGGATGATACATCTTAGGATGCACACTAATGGACTTGCTTCAGATGCTGAATTCGACATACATTTTCCAGATAATAGACCTCGTAAAAGTTATGGGTGTAGGTCTATCACCAAGAAACTATAAGGCTTATATAAACCAAAGTTGCACAAATGATGCATCGAGGGATGAAAACTCTCAATCTTGCTTCAGATGCTGGATTTTAATTACATTTTTATGATGAAGAACTAGTTTAAAGTTTTTATATAGGTCTATTCCAAAGTATCAAAATTGCATAAATTTTGCATTTTTGGATGTACACTTTTTGTTGGTTAATTGGGTGACTTAATTTGCCTTACTTAAAGACAACATTCGTTGAGGTGAGCTCTGTAATCTCTGATTACCTATGTTTACTACATGTTTGATTTTTAGCTCACCTCAACAAAGTTGGGGGAGCTTATGTAATACCCTCGGCGTCGGCGTCCCGGGTTAAGGTTAAGTTTTTTGGAGCAGTTTTCTTTTCAAGTACTTCTATGTCCTACATTGATTAGACATGCAAGAAAGATGTTTCTTGTGTGTTTCATTGTACTAGTCAAAGTTCCAGATGCTGCAATTTCAGCAAAGGAATGACCAGGTTAATGTTTTTGAAGCAGGTTAACATTTTTGGTGCAGTTTTTGGTGTAGGTCTCATTTCTGAGTAACTATAAGCCCTATGTTGACCAAACTTGCGTGGATGGTACATCTTAGGATGCACACTACCAGGCTTGCTTCGGATGCTGAATCTGACCTACATTTTCTGGTTGAGTGAACAAGTTTATGTTTCCATGCAGGTCTCTATTTGAAGTAACTATGAGCACTATGGTGACCAAACTTGCCTGGATGATACATCTTGGGATGCATATTACCATACTTGCTTCGGATGCTGAATCTGACCTACATTTTTTGGTTGAGTAAACAGGTTAAAGTATTTGGTGCAGGTTTCATTTCCAAGTTACTATGAGATCTATAATGACCAAACTTGCATGGATGGTACATCTTAGGATGCATACTACCAGACTTGCTTTGGATGCTGAATCTGACCTACATTTTCTGGTTGAGTGAACAGGTTAAAGTTTTTTGTGCAGGATTCATTTCCAAGTAACTTTGAGCCGTATAATGACCAAACTTGCATGGATGGTACATCTAAGGGTGCATTCTACTAGGCTGGCTTTGGATGCTGAATCTGACCTACATTTTCTGGATTAGTGGAAAAGTTAGTTTTTTATACAGGTTTCATTTTCAAGTAACTTTGAGCTCTATGTTGAGCAAACTTGCATGGATGATACATCTTAGGATGCACACTAATGGACTTGCTTCAGATGCTGAATTCGACACACATTTTCCAGATAATGGACCTCGTAAAAGTTATGGGTGCAGGTCTATTACCAAGAAACTTTAAGACTTATATAAACCAAACTTGAACAAATGATGCATCAAGTGATAAAACTCTCAACCTGCTTCAGATGCTGGATTTTAATTACGTTTTCATGATGAAGTACTAGTTTGAAGTTTTTATATAGGTCTATTCCAAAGTATCAAATCAAAATTGCATAAATTATGCATTTTTTGGATGTACACTTTTTGTTGGTTAATTGTTTTACTTAAAGACAACATTCGTTGAGGTGAGCTCTGTAATCTCTAATTACCTATGTTTTATTCAATCTAGAGACGTACAAGTGTATAATACGTCTCTGTTCAATCTCGATTTACCCATGACCGAAATTGGGATAGACAATTCCGTCTTCTTAAATTCGGATCGGCATAGCCCGAGTCAACTTGGGATAGATTTGGACTATCGGTCAGGCGTTAATTTCGCACACTGTTACAAACTAAGTTAATGAACTATTCATGGTATCTTAAGGAACTAACCTTATATAGACTGGTGTTTTCAAAGGATTTTTCTCTAGTTAACTACAGTTAATTACAATAATATGAAAGATATCAGGTTTTTATGGTTTTTGGAAAGTACTTGTGTTATGTTTGAATTATACATTAATATCAACAATATTCATGGTTGCTTGATGTTTGTGGAAAATTCTGTTATCATGAAAGTAATGAAATTAAAACTATTTGAATTTGTTCCATTTTTACAGTACAAGTTATGAATGCATGATTATGCATCCTTTCGAAGAAGGGCATATTGCTTTGCTGATGTCTGTCAGTCTGTCTGTCCACCATCAGTTTCTGTTTATTTTTTCGAAGAGGTTGCACATATTGAAATAAAATTTAGTTTTCAGATTTATCATTAGAAAATCTATGTCAAGTTTTATATTGGTTACAATTGGCCATTTGGACAGAGTTATGCCAGTTGGACTTGGAAAAATTCCAATTATTTGCAGTTTCCATTCATTTTCTTTGCAGAGGTTGCACATAGTGAGATGAAATTTGGTATACAGATTTACCATGAGAATATCTAGGTCAAGTTCTGTTTTAAGTATGATCAAGCCATTTTTGACAGAGGTATTCCCCTTGGACTTGGAAAAATTCCAATTATTATGCAGTTTTTGTGTATTTTCTTTGCAGAGGTTGCACATTTTCAAATCAAATTTGGTATTCAGATTTATCATAAAAATATCTAGATCAAGTTCTTTTCTGGGTACCATCAGGCCATTTTGGACAGGGTTATGTCCTTTGGACCTAAAAAAAATTCCAATCATTTGGGGGAGGGGGGCATAAGTGTTTCACAAACATCTCCTGTTTTCAGATGAAGTTTCAAGCCAATGACCATCAAGCTCTGAAAGAATTAGCAGATGAAATAATTTTGTTTGAAGGCATACAACACCCAAATCTTGTGAAATATTATGGAGTTGAAGTTCACAGGGTAAGTTTTCTTTTTAGCTCACCTGAGCTGAAAGCTCAAATGAGCTTTTCTGATCACATTTTGTTTGCAGTCTATCTGTCTGTCTGTCGGTAAACTTTTTACATTTACATTTTTACTTCTTCTACAAAAACACTTCTACAAAACCTTTTGGCCAACTTTAAGTAAACTTTAATGCCACAAAGCATCTTTGGGTAAAGGGGATTTAAATTTGTATCAATCAAGTGGAGATAATTCAGAAATAGTGAAAAATCTTCCTAAGAATCACAGTGACTGTGCTAGAAAATATGAAACTTCTGGGGAAACAGAGTAAGGTAGTGTAGACTCACACTTGTTCAAATCATGACTGCCAGGGGTACATGTAGTGCAGGGCAACAATGGACAATCACAGCAATGTATTTATGTGGAAGCATCTGCAGGTAGTGTAGGTTCAAGCACAGCAGTCTGAGGTTTTAATTGACAACAACAAAAAATATGGAAAAAAATTTCCACCCCAACTTAAAAAACACCAATGTTTAGGTGGTTTTCCCCAAAACACATTGTTTTGGGGAAAACCGCCTAAACATTCAAATAGATCTAAGTTTGGTCAGAAAAATTTTGCGACTAATGCAGTACTTGGAGTGTTTGTGCTATTTATTCAAGTTATAAAATTCCTATCTGCTTGAAATTACGGGCCGTGCATGGCCCTTTTCCTCCTTGACAAGCTCATCCTGGACTCCTTGCTGCTAAACCAGAAGAGAATCCCGCAGTGAATAATTGACATCTTTAAAAGCATATTCAAATAAAATAAATAATTGTTCAATGAACAAGGAGCCAAACAGCTAGACTTGATGACCTGGTAAAGCATATTTTCTTTGGAAAATTACAATTTCTTGATTGATCACATATGGTAACATAATATTGTACATGAAGTTTTACATGCTTTTTAGCTCACCTCAACGAAGTTGGGGGAGCTTATGTAATACCCTCGGCGTCGGTGTTGGTGTCGGCGTCGGCATCGGCATCCCGGGTTAAGGTTAAGTTTTTTGGAGCAGTTTTCTTTTCAAGTACTTCTATGTCCTATATTGATTAGACATGCATGGAAGATGTTTCTAGTGAGTTTCATTGTACCAGTCAAAGTTTCAGATGCTGCAATTTCAGCAAAGGAATGACCAGGTCAATGTTTTTGGAGCAGGTTAACATTTTTGGTGCAGTTTTTGGTGTAAGTCTCATTTCCGAGTAACTATAAGCCCTATGTTGACCAAACTTGCATGGATGGTACATCTTAGGATGCACACTACCAGACTTGCTTCGGATGCTGAATCTGACCTACATTTTCCGCATGAGTGAACAGGTTTATGTTTTCAGTGCAGGTCTCATTTCCAAGTAACTATGAGCACTATAGTGACCAAACTTGCATGGATGATACATCTAAGGATGCATACTACCAGACTTGCTTCGGATGCTGAATCTGACCTACATTTTCTGGTTGAGTGAACAGGTTAAAGTTTTTGGTGCAGCTTTCATTTCCAAGGTACTTTGAGCCCTATACTGACTAAACTTGCATGGATGATACATCTTAGGATGCATACTACCAGACTTGCTTCGGATGCTGAATCTGACCTACATTTTCCGGTTGAGTGAACAGGTGAAAGTTTTTGGTGTAGGTTTCATTTCCAAGTTACTATGAGACATATAATGAGCAACCTGCAAGGATGGTACATCTTAGGATGCATATACTACCAGACTTGCTTCAGATGCTGAATCTGACCTACATTTTCCGGTTGAGTGGACAGGTGAAAGTTTTTGGTGCAGGTTTCATTTCCAGGTTTCTATGAGCCATATAATGGACCAAACTTGCAAGGATGGTACATCTAAGGGTGCATTCTACTAGGCTGGTTTTGGATGCTGAATCTGACCTACATTTTCTGGATTAGTGAAAAGGTTAGTTTTTTATACAGGTTTCGTTTCCAAGTAACTTTTAGCTCTATGTTGAGCAAACTTGCATGGATGATACATCTTAGGATGCACACTAATGGACTTGCTTCAGTTGCTGAATTCGACATACATTCTTTTCATACAGCCTTCGGCTTTCAGAGTATCAATAGTATATTTCTTGACTAATAACATGCGGGCTCGCTATTCAAAGAAATTAAAACCCATGTGACATCACCAGTATAAATACCGACCGCCATGCTTGAATCACTCATATTTTTCTTGGCGCACGTTGTGCGGGCTTTAAGGTATACTTCGAAATATTTTGATTAAATTGGACTTTAGACGAAGTCTTAACTTTACGTGTTGTATACACAGTTATTTTTTAAGTGTGTTATTGTTTCTCAGATGTGGTCTGGGCTTTCACGTGGTTCACGTGAATTTCATGGTTTGTTGTGAAATTTACATGCATGTCCTCAGAAAATTCTGACGTACTCTCGATAATGGCAGAGTCGGACGATGAATCTTTTGAGGGGTTTAATAGCGAGGATATTAGAAAAGCAGAGAAAAAACTCGCTTCTAAACTAGGAAGAATAGAAACTAGGGCAACTGCAGGTTCTGCAGTGCAAAATGCACCTAATGATGATGAACAAGGGTCTTCAACGTCGACGGCAAAGCCGTCTTCGGCAAGTAAAAAAGGTAGCAAACGTAAAGGGCCAGGCAGTAATGCCACTAAAGCGAAGAAAAATAAACAAGTTGAAATTTCTGGTAATGACATTACTAGTGCAATGTTAAACATGGACACTGAGAGTGTTGACAAATTCAAGGAAATGATGGGTATAAATGATATAATTGGGTGCATTTATAACCTTCAGCAAGATAAATTGAATCAATTAGATCAATTAGAACAAGAGTCCAGTGTGGACCTTGATGTTAATAATAATGAGCGTGAAGGCTCAAGTCTAAATGAGGGAAATGATTTTGATTTTTTCATGGATGACAAAGAATCTGATGAAAAAGGTCATGATGAAGAGTTAGATAATGATTGGGACATTCCAGATTGGTTTACAACAGATAAAAAAGGGAAGAATGTTGATGATAAATTAGCTAACATGGTTAACACTCTCTGTATTAAAGAGGGCGAAACAGAGAAGATAATAGAGAGTAATCAAAGACCAGCTAATTGCACTTGTTTGTTAGCCCCATGAGTAAACACAGACATATGGAATATTATGCCCAAATTTGCTCAAAGTAGAGACTCAGGCTTTCAAGCTGTACAGAAAACAATAGCAACAGGTATTATTCCGTTGCTCAAAATAGCTGAAATGTCAAAAACAGATGAGAAAATGAAGAAAGTTAGAAATCTGATTAAACAGTCAATTATCCTGTTGTGCAACTCAGTGTATCAATTGTCTCAGAAAAGAAGATTTCTTTTGAGAAAGGTCTTGCCAAACAGGTTCTCTGGACATATGCAATGCCTCACAACCTGTTACGGTTTGTTATTTGGATCAGATATCCAAAAGAAAATTAAAGAGTTGTCAGATTTTGACAAGTACAAAAGGGTTGATAAATTTAGAGGTGCTTATAACAACTCGGGCAACAGGGGAAGAAGAAACTTTCCATACAACTATTACTATGGCAGAGGTAGAGGATCAAATAAGCCTTTTTTAGGGGGAAGGAACACATACACTTGAGATTCGAGACAGGAAAAAAGAAACCCAGAGAAATACCAGTGAGACAAACACGGTAAGTGTTGGTCAAATTAAACATCATGTAACACAATGGGAAAACATCATTAAGGATTCATGGGTTCTGAAGACAATCCAGGGTTATGAGATTGAGTTTGATGAGATTCCTTATCAATCAAAAAAGCCATCTCAAATTTCTTTTAATGACCAAGAATCTTTATCGTAAACGAAGAGATAATGGAGTTGCTTAGAAAAGGTGCAATAGGAGAAATAAATGAAAATGATGCTCTATTTATTTCTAATATATTTGTTGTTCCTAAGAAAAATGGGAAATCAGACCTGTGATAAATTTACGAAATCTAAATGAATTTGTCTCGTATGAAAAATTTAAACAAGAAAATTTAAATCAAATTTTGAGTATTTTACAGAAAGGAGATTTTTTCTGCAGTGTCGATCTTAAAGATGCTTATTTTAGTGTTCCAATTGCAAAAGAGTTTCAGAGATATTTGAGTTTTCAATGGAACAGAAAGGTTTATTGTTTTGTGGTTTTACCATTCGGAAAGCCCAGAATTTTCACAAAGATTTTAAAACCTGTGTATGCTTACTTTAGATCCATTGGTATCAGATGTTCCTATTATCTGGATGATTCTTTAATTATGAATCATAGTTTGGCTTATTGTATGAAGAATACTCAATTCATTATTAAGATACCTTACATTCATTAGGTTTCTATGTTAACTTTGAGAAAACCGTGACAAAACCAACTCAAGTAATTGAATTTTTTGGGTTGATAATTGATTCGAAAAAGTTCATGGTATTTTTACCAAGGGAGAAAATAGATAGGATAAAAAGTACTGCTTCAAAATTTATTGCAGGAAGAATGTATTAGTATTAGAGAAGTGGCAACTTTCATAGGGCTTATTGTACATGCATTTAATGCAATTTCCATAGGACCCCTTTATTACCGATCTTTAGAAAGGGACAAAGTTAAGGCATTGAATGAAAATGGTGATGATTACGATGGAAGTATAAAATTATCTAGTCAAAGTAAGAATGAAGTAGTTTGGTGACAAAGAATCTGATAAAAAAGGTAAACTTATTCAATGCCCATAGATTTTTGGATAATCTGATGCCTCTTGTGTAGGAATGGGTGCTGTTTTTAGAACAGATTACTTTAGCAGACAGTAAAAAAGAGAGAAAAAGTTCCATATAAATTATTTGGAGTTATTGGCCATATTCTTTGCTTTAAAGTATTTTTTTTAAAGATCAAACAAATATTCATGAGTATAAAATGTGATAATAGGACAGCCATTTCCTATGTAAATAATATGGGAGGAATGGTTTCAAAAGACATGGATTATTTATTTGCAAAGGATATTACAGAAAACAATGACAGTGGTGTTGTACAAGGAATATATGGATAAGCTGAAAATTCAAAAACAGATTATTAGAAAATGAAGTGAAGTAAAATCAGAAATTTTTCTGATTAAACAGTCCAGATTATTCTTTTTGCATCAGGTAACAATTTTAAAATTCAAAGGTATGCCCATATGAAAAAATACTATTGAATTCAAGAGTATTCAGTTGACATATGCAATGCCTCACAACCTGTGACCATTAGTTGAATTTTTGCCATGCAGATATCTCATTTGCAAAAGAAAATTGAATGCTCCTATATATTCTTTGCAGTTACAAAAGGGTTGATAAATTTAGAGGTGCTTATAACTATTTCCTTTACAGTTGACCGAAACTTTGAATACTCAACTATTTTCTTTGCAGTTGACCGGTTGAATACTCCTCTATTTCCTTTGCAGTTGACCGCTAGTTGAACACTGTATTTCCTTGCAGTTGACCGCTAGGAATACTGCACTATTTCCTTTGCAGTTGAAGCGAGAGAATACTCCATTAGTTAGTGCAAACACGGTTGCTTTCAATAAATAATTGAAAAAAATCATGTAACACAATGGGAAAACATCATTGAAAATATGAAAAGTCAAACCAATAGAGTTTATAAATTGACATAAATGTACTTGTAAATTTAAATGCATTATAAAAAAGCACATCTCAAATTTCTTTTTTTAATGCAACGAATGTGAAGCGAGACATAGCGACCGAAGAGATCCGTCGTCGTCGAGTCCAACTTTTGGTTAACCCAAATGTCAAAGTTTTATAAACTGCAATAATTTCTCAAATTTTATTTCTAATATATTTGGACACAATATTCAGTATGGATAAAAATTTATATCCCAAGTATGATTTTGATAAAAAAAAAATTCTAAATTTTTGTTTTTTATGAAAAATTTAGTTTTTTCAAGAAAATTTAAATCAAATTTTGAGTATTTTACAGTTAAAGGAGATTTTTTAGCAGTGGATACATCATGGGTAACCACAAAGATGCTTATTTTAGTGTTCCAATTGCAAAAGACTTTGGTTAAATTTTTTGAGTTTTCATCTGGAACTTATAAAGGTGATGATTGTTTTGTGGTTTTACAACATTACCAGAATTGTCATTTTGACCTAGAATTTTTTCATGAAAGACTTTTAAAATGTGTATGCATATTTCAGCATCTATTGGTATGGCAGATGTTCAGTGGATACATCTGGGTATTCTTTAATTATGAATCATAGTTTGGCTTATTGTATGAGTGACTTTGCATAAATTTATTCATTATTCAGCAACTATAACATTCATTAGGTTTCTGTGTTAACTTTGAGAAAACTGTGACAAAACCAAATCAAGTAATTGAATTTTTTGGGTTGATAAAATTGATATCTCAGCAACTAAAAAGTGGCATGGTATTTTTTACACATCAGGGTAACCAACAATATCAGTACCATAAAAGTATCTTCAAAATTTATTGCAGGAAGAATGTATAGTATTTGAGAGAATGCAACTTTCATTAGGGCTTATGTACATGCATTTAATGCAATTTAAAAACATCACAATAATTTGTGAATTTAAAGGGTACAAAGTATATATATATAAATGAAAATATATGATCGATGGAAGTATAAAATTATCTAGCTGTTCAAAGTAAGAATGAAATGTAAAGTTTGGTTTATCAGAAAATATCGAAATAAAAAATGGTAAACTTATTCAATTACTGCCCATAGATTTTTGGAAAAGGTTATATATAGAATCTTGTCTAAAGCAATTGCTATATTTTTACAACACAACAAGACACTTGATGCATAACAGGTTTTCAGAAAGAGAGAAAAAGTTCCATATAAATTATTTGGACATTGTTTTGCCATATTCTTTGCTTTAAAATATTTTTTTTAAAGAACAAACATTTTAATATTCATGTACATGGTATAAACATGTGATAATAGGACAGCCATTTCCTATGTAAATAAATGGGAGGAATGGTTTCAGAAAACACACATGGATTATTTCAAAGGATATTTGACAGTGGTGTTGTACAAGGAATATATGTAATTTTGAACCCAACATAAATTTCCCTGGAAAATTAAATGAGGTAGCAGATTATTATTCTGCAGGGAAACTACTACATCAGGTGAATGGAGTCTAAAATCAGAAATTTTTGATAGAATTCAAACAGTTTTTTAGTCCAGATGTAGATCTTTTTGCATCAGGTAACAATTTTAAAATTCAAAGGTATGTTTCTTGGTCTTTTAGTCCAAATGCATGGAAAGTTGATGCCTTTTCTTTTCTGTGGACAGAATTAATATCTTATATATTTCCACCTTTCCATCTGTTAGGAAGAGTTTTCAATAAGATCAAGGAAGATAGGGTAGATAGAGCTATTGTGGTTTTTCCTGTATGGCGATCTCAAACTTGGTTTCCCCTTTTACTATCAATGATTGTTTCAATTCCAGTTAGACTGCCAAGACATGCAGATCTTCTGACCGATGGAAACAGAAACCACCCCATGAACAAGAAAATCATCTTAGCCACCGCAGTTTTCTCTGGAAAGCCTTGGAGGATAAAGAATTTCCAAAGGACATTAGACTCATCATCTTGTCCTCATGGAGAGGATCGACCCAAAAACAATACTACCTTGCATGGTGAAAATTCATTTTTTAGTGTAATAAACGAAACAAAAATGTATATGAAATTTCTGACAAGGATCTGATGTCTTATTTGTTTTCATTATTTAAAGAAGGGAAATCTTACTCTTGTGTCAATACTCATAAAGAAGCTGTAACTCAGACTTTATCTTTATTAGATCAAAAATGGAATAAAAATTCAGCATTACTATCAAAATTTATGAAAGGGTTGTTTAATTCAAGACCAAATTTGCCAAGATATGAATTTACATGGGATGTGACTAAAGTTCTTACATGTTTAAAGTCTCTTTTTCCTTTGGATTCATTAGATATGAAACATCTTATTTGGAAGATATGTACACTTTTAGCTTTAACAACAGCAGCTAGGGCACAAACTCTTGTTAATTTGAGTATTAAGAATATGAAGTTAAGTCCAGAGAGAGTTATTTTTTATTTTACGTCATTACTTAAGACTTCTAGACCAGGAAGGTCATTTTCTATCACCCTTGATAGATACAAGGATGAAAAACTTTCTGTTGTGTGTACGCTACAGGAATATATTAAAAGAACAAGTGACTTTCGCAAGTGTGATCAACTTCTTGTATCATTTAAGACATTCGATCAAGTTTCCACAAGCACTATAGCTAGATGGATTAAGTGCGTAATGGAAAGTGCTGGAATAGACATTAAGACTTTCAAGGCGCATTCAATTCGTTCAGCATCTTCTGCAGCTCTGAAAAGTGGTGTTTCCTTAGCAAATATTCTGAAGACTGGAGATTGGTCCTCATCGAAGAACTTCAAAAAATTTTATTTTAGAGACATTTAGAATAATGATTCCAATTCTTATATGGATGGTGTGTTAAACTGTGATTGATGTTTTTTCCAAATAAATGTTTTGATTTAATTTATTGTCAATTCTTTAAACATGCTATTGATACTCTGAAAGCCGAAGGCTGTATGAAAAGAATGGGCCCCTCATCCAAGCATACCCTGGATGTGATGGATGAGGGACATTCTTGGAGTACAGCCTGAGGCTGAAGAGTATCAACTTTCCCACCCATGTGAGAATACATGGAATAATACATCACTTATTTATTCCCGCCTCTTTATTATTGCATACATTGACAATAAATTTGCTTTAAATTATGAGTGATTCAAGCATGGCGGTCGGTATTTATACTGGTGATGTCACATGGGTTTTAATTTCTTTGAATAGCGAGCCCGCATGGTATTAGTCAAGAAATATGCTATTGATACTCTTCAGCCTCAGGCTGTACTCCAAGAATGTCCCTCATCCATCACATCCAGGGTATGCTTGGATGAGGGGCCCATTTTCCAGACAATGGACCTCGTAAAAGTTATGGGCGCATGTCTTTTACCTAGAAACTATAAGGCTTATATAAACCAAACTTGCTCAAATGATGCATCAAGGGATGAAAACTCTTAAACTTGCTTCAGATGCTGGATTTTAATTACGTTTTCATGATGAAGTACTAGTTTGAAGTTTTTATATAGGTCTATTCCAAAGTATCAAATCAAAATTGCATAAATTTTTCATTTTTGGATGTACACATTTTGTTGGTTAATTGTTTGACTTTGCCTTACTTAAAGACAACATTCGTTGAGGTGAGCTCTGTAACCTCTGATTACCTATGTTTATAAAAGGAATAAACGTTTTTAAAAACAAGTTTAATACATATCTTGGCGTATCTGAATTTATTTCTTATTTGAATTTTTTGGTGATGCAGAAAATGCATTGTGTTTCTATCCTATTGTTACAGTTATAAGGAATAAAGTTACACGCGTGTAAGTTTGTGAGTGAATGCTAAGTCATAGCCGAAAATTATACTTTAAAAAAAACAAGCTAATTCAGAGAAATTGTGTCCCCCACTTAGAGAAAAAGTAAACCATGCCCAGTTCGGGGGAGGGGGGGGGGGGAGTAGGATCCCCCTGACTGAATTTGTAGAATTATCAAATGATATAAAGATTTGATTGCTTATTCTTTATTATGTGTATAGAAGATTCTTTTTATATGGAATATTTATCACACTGTAATGATGATTTTGTGAGAATGTACAAGCCAGACCTCATAACTTTTTCATTTCACATGCTGAACATATTGATATGTTCATGCATTGATCTTGTATCTTTTTAATATATATTTATATATTCCTATTATTTGGAATATTAGGATGAAATGTTGGTGTTCATGGAATACTGTGATCGTGGGACACTGGAAGAGGCAGCCAAAATGGGACTTCCTGAACACAACATTAGAGTATACACCAGAGAAATTCTGCTAGCTATCAACCATTTACATGAAAATAACATATTACACAGAGATATAAAGGGTAATTACAATTATGTAAATTACTTTTGTAAATTTGTAAAATTAAATGTATTTATTTGGCATCCCTGTACTTATGTAGATTAAAAGTACAAGAAATAATCTACTTTTTTTCTATAAAAAAAGGTTTGTATTTCAAAAAAAAAAAATTGCCATTTACTATTTTCATTTCTTTTCCTCACTGAGTCAATTCTAAAATAATCAGCCAATCTTGTTGGAGTTTTTGCTGAGTCAGATGCTTTGATTCTTCATGCTACTTTTTTGCACCAAAAATGTCTTATTCTGTTAGAGCCGTCCTTTTCGTGGATTTCTGACTTGGGATAGCACCTTTTTTATATTTTAGAAAGGGAACCATGCTTTAAAATTCTCCACCATAAATTTACAGACCCTAAACCATGCTACTACACCTCAGAAACGAACCGAACCGCTCCGTGCACAAAGCGTACTGTACCGTTCAAAAAGCGTACCCTAATGTTAAAAAAATGTCCCATTCCGTGCGAGAAACGAACTGTACCGTTCTTTGGTTAATTATGCAAACCATGCCCCCAATGATTTTTTAACCAAGCAATGACCAAATAAATCATTTTGGTTTATTTCTCGCAATAGCGCCAGAGAAAGGAAGATGGAGGTAGTCCCTAGCTGTTCGAAACACCTTTATCAAATATCATGCATCCGGGCTTTCAACTGTAAAAATAATGAAACTACCCGGAACAAACAACTTCAACAACTAGACAGAGTGTCTTATTTGCTATAAATCAACCTGTTGTGTTTGTGATCAAAGGTACATTACAGGCCACAAGTTTTCCCGCAAAACATGGGGTACCGTGGACCTCCGACCATGTTGGCGTCTTTGAAGTCAGTGATTCTGTGCACCGTGTAACACGGTGTATCACGGTTCCCCATTACAGATCTGATAATAAACATTTTCATTTTCTTTATTTAAGCAAACTTTTAAGCCACTTTTTTGCAAAAATATGTATATTATAGGCATTGGAAATTGGAGTTTACCTTTTTTTGTTGATTTAGCCCCCCCTTCCACATTCAATTTGCTTCTGACGCCTATGCCTATGTAGTACAAATCAGATGCTTGATTTTACTAATGAATTATTTTGTAAGAAATTTAAAACATAATATGAACTGTCTAGAGTAAAACAAACGTATTAAACTCACACTTTAATTCTGCTCTCAGACTGATAATTACTCGGCGAATCATTGGTGCAGTTAGACTTACACTAAAAATCTGTAATAATGTAAAATAAGGAGAAAAATATTACATGGGGTAAACATGAAGATTTTTACATGTACAGAGAACATTCAAATTGATTGCTCAATAGTTGTAAATGGGTTGAGTATGAACCAAAGTTGTGGAAATTACTAAAAAGCATCATAGACTAATTAATTGTGACTTTGGCAGTGTAAATATTAATAAATCAAAGAATTAAAACAAATAGCCTAAGGAGATTTTTTAATAGATTATGTAACAAGGGGTTGTATCTCTCTCTCTCTCTCTCTCTTTTGTTCACGACATTGTTTTTACACACTTTACAAGATAAGTATAACCTATAAAAATAAAGAAGAACTTATTAAAATTATTTTACACTGAAAGAATTATTGAAAACATAAATACTAGTTTATGCAAAGAATGTTTTCTGTTACGATAATACGCTCGGAAGTTACTGTATTTTTTGATTGAAACCGAGACATACATGTATCCTCTAGCATATTACATTACAAGACTACTGATAAACGCAATTACATAATGAAAAAAAAATTCCCTTGATAAATGAAACTCATTGATACTTAAATATATATTTACAGTATATAAATAATTACATTTGTTAATAACGGTAATATAATTATGTACGTGTGCAGGGATTTTCCACTGCCCCATGTAGGGCCGAATATGGGCCCCATTCCCAATTGCAAAATCACTCAATTTTTCCCAAAAATGAACAGCCTGTTTAATTTTTGAAAAATTCATGTAAAACAAACATGGTCAGGTTTGAACTCTTAATGAAATGAACATAATTTTTGGAGACTTGGCTAAAACTTTAGAATAATAGATCTGTTTTCTGAAGTAAAGTTCTGAAAATATGAAGTAAAAAGTCAATTTTAACTATCATAAGTGTTTATTTATTGAAATACATCTTGCTATAAAATTTCCCAAAAAGTTGTAAAATGTCGTAAAATTCCCAATGGGAAGGGCCTGGGCCCCATTCCCAAAATGGGATGGAAAATCCCTGGCGTGCATAAAATACTTCAAAACTCGTTAACAATGGACAAATTTTTAGCAGCCAATCAAGGACTAAAGCTAACAAACTCCACCCACTTCATTTGCATACCGTTTCCAAAAGCATACCGTTCACAAAACAAACCGTACCGTGCAAGAAACGAAACATTCCGTCCATAAAGAATACCGTACCATTCACAAAGCGAACCATTCCGTGCACAAAGCGTACCGTTCCGTTCACAAAGCGAACCGTTCCGTGCACAAAGCATATCGTTCCGTTCACAAAGCGAACTGTTCTCTGCAAAAAGCATACCATACCATTCACAAAACGAACCGTCACGTTCACAAAGTGTACCGTACCCGTTCACAAAGCATGCCAAACCGTACCGTTCAAGTGGTGTAGTAGCACGGTTTAGGGTCTGTACTTACTAGCCCTGAGCTCCAGATAATATTTTGCCCCAAAGTGTATGTACACCCTGAATTTCAAATCAATGCCAATTTTGATTCAGTATCATGATTTCGGAGTATTTTGTTAATATGTAAGTGTTTTAGAAGAGGAGTTTCTGCATTTTAAATAAATTTTGAAAATACCAACAAGACTTTTGGCTAAAACTGAGAAACATTCATTTTTGACAAGGAAGATCCTACTGTAGGTAAATTAAGTTACTACAGGCAAGTAAATCTTTTCCTCCATTTAAGATGATATCAAAACAAGAATAACTGAGAGAAAAAATCCTCATTAATATGGCAAGTTAATAAAGATGAGAAATTCACAATGAAGTAGCTCATACTGAAAAAATGTTATGTACAAACCGTGTGTAAGCATATCTTACTAAACAGAGAGCTCTGGAGAATTTAAGAGAACTTCTGATTGGTAAGTTAAAATTTTAATACAAATTATGTGGAATCCATTTTAATCTAAATCTTTGATTCTTTTCTCCTGAAATGGAAATTATTGTCATCATTACTAGTCAGAATATTCCTGGTCATTAAACGCTTTAAAATTGATATTTGGTTTTGTGAAAAATCAACACTGGGTTAACCTCAATTCATCCCATTAGCTAAGTTGTACTTGTATTATTCAACCCACCGTACACAGTACTTTTATGGTGAAATGCTTATCTATGATTGCTAATGCATAACTTTATGCCCAGTTTTAATTTTTAATGTGTATTTTGTAAATATCAATGCATATTTCTGCAAATATATTATAGTATTATACCCACCTTATCTGGAGCTCTTTAGCCCATCATGCATGCACAGAAATAATTTTTGGTAGCCAGTCCAGGTTTTACAAGCCATTGTCAACTATATACTTCATTTGCTGTGTTTTTCTAGTAAGCCAACTGTAAAATTGATTTGAAAACCATTTTCATATATACTCATACGTAGAAATATGCACGGAAAAACGTGTTAACGTAATGTCACAATGAGGCTGCAGTGACTATATTAGTAAAAATGCAATGATATAGGGCAGTGAGAAATTCAAATATTAGTATATTTTAGTTGCTTCCAAACATGTAAAGTGTAAATATAAGGAATGTTAATAAGTTTAGTGTAAATTACCATAATAATACCTATTAACCGCCTCTGCCCCTATAAGTGCCCCCTAGGTCTTTTTCAATTGTCAGGAAATAAGGGCCCCCTGTACAGTGATTAAAATCATCTAGAATTGTATCAAAAGTCTGCCAAAATTTGAAGAAAGTAAAAATGAAACTTGTCTTTTATCCAATTTCTTGACTGAAATGAATCATTTATTTATGCAGCATTGTTAAGGCTGAAAAAAGGAGGCGGGGCCTAATTTATATGGGAAAAGTTTACTGTGATGTCACACAAAAATATGACTTTTATTTATTCCTCATAATAGCAGAAAATGAAATAATTTGCAATTTTAAACTGTATTAGCATAATAAACAACGATAAAACTATCAATGCATAAAAAAAAAAAGTGGCTAATCAAATCCCATACAGCTGGTTATAAACAAATCACTGATCACGTTGACCTTGTCAATCATGATGTCATTTTGGTAAAAAAGATGTATTTCATGTGCTGTGAGAGGCAGATTGAGGAATTTTTTAGCAATGAAAAATGTGTTTTATTATAAAACAGAATATTATTCACAGGTTTTAAATAGGCTATTAATACCAATGTATATCCAGGCACGTAGCATCGATTTTGAAAGTGGGGGGGGGGGGCCAGCCACAGAATTATTTTTTTACTTACCTGAAAAAGTTGACAAGCAAACAAAAAAAAAGAAAAGGAAAATTGCCCAACGTCAAAAAGGGGGGGGGGGGGGGGGGGGGTAGATGCAAACTTTTCTCACTACCGATTCCTTTCAATATCCATTTTTTAAGCTTACAATGCTATATTTCCTTCATACATGTATTACTTTACTTTAGTATAAAGGGGGGGGGGGGGAACCAGCCTTTCAATGAACATTTTCAATAGTAAAAGTATTGTTGGCAAAAAGAGTGGGGGGGCCTGGCCCCCCCTGTTGCTACGTCCCTGATATCCTTTGTTTACTGCAATTATTCATTTACTATCGAGAGAATGTATTCAAATAATTTTGTCGTGTTTTTATGTTCAGGTTATAGATATATTTTACATCGAGGTGCCTCATAAAATCTTTCTTTCGCAAGGGCATACACTAAATAAATTTTAACCATTTTTTGAATATAGATAAAGGATATGTTCCTTAACTTCAAAAGTGCTGCTGCTTTCTTTAAATCGAGAGCGTGACTTTATAAATACACAAAATATTTGGTAAAAGTCAAACATATTTCGAAATGGGCCCATTTACTTGAACTTTTGACTATCAAAACACAAATTCTATTCGAAGCAGCAGCACTTTCCAATTACAATTAATAGCTTGAATTCTTAATTTCAAATAGGGTTTGCCCTTGTGATATTGAAATGTGTGAATGACCTACATTCAGTACACTTACTAATGCATTCATCATGTGACTGTCCATCGATAGGACAAAACTTCAAACAGTACAGAGTAGCTTAAACTATGCTTTTTCCATAAGTATTTAAGTTCTGTGATAATAAAACAGCTGAATAAAAATAAATTCAGTTTTAAAAACAATTCCTGTTTTTGCACTTCTATTTTCCGTTGATTTCTCACAGTAAGCCTTAACAGTGCTGCATAGCATAATTTGGGTGGATTATCTGAATTCACTTAAAGTAAAGTTAGTCATTTTTTAGTGATTCTTTGAATTTTTTTTTTCAAAAGATTTTTTGAATTTAAGATACGATATTAAATATTATAGACTGAGAGAAAACCAAAATAATAGCCCTTTTTAGCTCACCTGAGCCGAAGGCTCAAGTGAGCTTTTCTGATCACATTTTGTCCGGCGTCCGTCTAGCTGTCTGTCTGTCTGTCCGTAAACTTTTCACATTTTCGACTTCTTCTCAAGAACCGCTGGGCCAATTTCAACCAAACTTGCCACAAAGCATCCTTAGGTGAAGGGGATTCAAGTTTGTTCAAATGAAGGGCCACGCCCTCATTCAAGGGGAGATAATTGAGAATTAGTGAAAATTTGGTGGTATGTTTTAAAAATCTTCTCAAGAACGACTGTGCCAGGAAAGATGAAACTTATGGGGAAACATCCTCAGGTAGTGTAGATTCAGGTTTGTTCAAATCATGTCCCCCGGGGGTAGGGCGGGGCCACAATGGCCGACCAAAGTTTTACATAGAAATATATAGGAAAATTCTTTAAAAATCTTCTTCTCAAGAATGACAAAGCCATGATTCATCAAATTTATATAGAAGCATGCTCAGGTAGTGTAGATTCAAGTTTGTTCAAATCATGACCCCCGGGGGTAGGGCGGGGCCACGATGGCTGACCAAAGTTTTACATAGAAATATATAGGAAAATTCTTTAAAAATCTTCTTCTCAAGAATGACAAAGCCATAATTCATCATATTTATATGGAAGCATGCTCAGGTAGTGTAGATTCAAGTTTGTTCAAATCATGACCCCCGGGGGTAGGGCGGGGCCAAAATGGCTGACCAAAGTTTTACATAGAAATATATAGGAAAATTCTTTAAAAATCTTCTTCTCAAGAATGACAAAGCCATAATTCATCATATTTATATGGAAGCATGCTCAGATAGTGTAGATTCAAGTTTGTTCAAATCATGACCCCCCGGGGTAGGGCGGGGCCAAAACGGCCGACGTTTTACATGGAAATTTATAGGAAAATTCTTTAAAAATCTTCTTCTCAAGAATGACAAAGCCATAATTCATCATATTTATATGGAAACATGCTCAGGTAGTGTAGATTCAAGTTTGTTCAAATCATGACCCCGAGGGTAGGGCCGGCCAAAATGGCCGACCAAAGTTTTACATAGAAATATGTAGGAAAATTCTTTAAACATCTTCTTCTCAAGAATGACAAAGCCATAATTCATCATATTTACATGTATATGGAAGCATGCTCAAGTAGTGTAGATTCAAATTTGTTCAAATCATGACCCCCCGGGGAAGGGCGGGGCCAAAATGGCCGACGTTTTACATGGAAATTTATAGGAAAATTCTTTAAAAATCTTCTTCTCAAGAATGACAAAGCCATAATTCATCATATTTATATGGAAACATGCTCAGGTAGTGTAGATTCAAGTTTGTTCAAATCATGACCCCGAGGGTAGGGCCGGGCCAAAATGGCCGACCAAAGTTTTACATAGAAATATATAGGAAAATTCTTTAAACATCTTCTTCTCAAGAATGACAAAGCCATAATTTATCATATTTACATGTATATGGAAGCATGCTCAAGTAGTGTAGATTCAAATTTGTTCAAATCATGACCCCCCGGGGTAGGGCGGGGCCAAAATGGCCGACCAAAGTTTTTAAAGATATATATAGGAAAATTCTTTAAAAATCATTTTCTAAAAAATAGCAAATCCATGATTGGTCATGGGACTACTTTTGGATTTAAACTTTACAATAAAAAGCCATTTTCTACTTTTTCCTACCCTTAATGCTCAGGTGAGCGATGTGGCCCATGGGCCTCTTGTTTGCAATTTTCTAAGTGCCCAGAGCAGTTAATAGGGATTATACGGTATTGGCATGTGAATCACACAGACTTGTATGTAGGCATATATACGTGACAGGTCTGTTTGATTCACACACCAATAAATCACACAAAATTCAAAAACATTCCTTAATTGGCTAGCTCCTAATTTCTAAGTCTGAATTAAATGAATTTTATTCAGAGTAACAAAGTATTTTTAAAATTCTAATAGTAAATTTTTGTCAGGGATTCAATATCTCTCTCTGATGCTCTTAATTCTTTTTCTCACTGACTCCCCATATTTGTACTGAAAACCCAGATATAAAGAAAGTAGTGTAACATAGGTGAGCATTGTTGCATATGGGACTGTTTTTCAACAGAGAATTGTAAAGAATTCGAAGTCTCCCAAAAATACTTTAAAGCCTTCCACATTATATATATTTAAGAACTTTTCCTCTCTCAAAAGAAACTGAATTATCTTAAACTCGTATCCTTAACTGCTTATTGAATATTAATGACCAAAACATTTGTGTACATTTTAGGTGCCAACATATTTTTGACTTCCAGTGGGTGTTTAAAACTTGGAGATTTTGGATGCTCAGAAAAACTTAAAAGCCATGCAACTCTGCCAGGCGAGTTCAACAGCCTTGTAGGAACTATGGGTAATTTAATGATGAGAGAAGTCACCACTCACAGATGAGTACAGTGTACAATGTATCTCACTAGGGAAGTCATGAGTTTTTATAAGTACACTGTACAATGTATCTCACTAGGGAAGTCATGAGTTTTTAGAAGTACAATGTACAATGTATCTCACTAGGGAAGTCATGAGTTTTTATGAGTACAATGTGCAATGTATCTCACTAGGGAAGTCATGAGTTTTTATGAGTACAATGTGCAATGTATCTCACTAGGGAAGTCATGAGTTTTTATGAGTTCAATGTGCAATGTATCTCATTAGAGAAATCATGAGTATTGATGAGTACAGTGTGCAATGTATCTCACTAGGGAAGTCATGAGTTTTTATGAGTACAATGTGCAATGTATCTCATTAGAGAAGTCATGAGTATTGATGAGTACAGTGTGCAATGTATCTCACTAGGGAAGTCATGAGTTTTTATGAGTACAATGTGCAATATATTTCATTAGAGAAATCACAAGTATTGATGAGTATATTGTACACTTGATTTCATTAGGGAAGTCACCAGTATTGATGAGTACATTATACACTGTATCTCATTAGAGAAGTCACAAGTATTGATGAGTACGGTGTACACTTGATATCACTAGAGAAGTCAACAGTATTGATGAGTACAGTGTACACTGGATATTTTAGAGAAGTCATAAGTGTCGATAAGTGCACTGTTCACTGGATATATATATATATATATATATATATATATATATATATATATATATATATATATATATATATATATATATATATATATATATACACACACACACATATATATATATATATATATATATATATATATATATATATATATATATATATATATATATATATTTTTTTTTTTTTTTTAAATTCAAGGGACCAGTACATATTCAATAAAACCAAAGTTCAAAATTATACTGTATTGAAATTGTATTTTGTTTAAATTTTAATGCAGGTCAATAATTCTGATTCAGATCAAAAACATCTAGCAACCCAAACCAAATACAAAGTTCTTTTTTACAGAATCAATGAACTTAAGTTGTTAAGGAAGCTCTAAACACACAGTTTAGGACTCAGAGAAAAATATATCAAATAAGGATATGCATATTGAGACTTTTTCATTCATTTAGAACATGGATACGTGCCTTATTTGCGCAGGAAAAATGTTCAAAGACAATGTGCTATTTGTGAGCAGAAATCACTGTTGTTTAAGATGTAAATTATAAAAACAGTCATTTGGTCGAAAAATTTCGGATTAAGAGTCCAGTTTCGAGAGTCAGACGCATTATTTTTATTTTTGTAAATAGGGAAAAATAGGGTCGGCGGAATCGTAAACCAGGAGAAAAAAAATTTTGGCCTAATAGCAGTTTATTGTTTATTATGGAAAAGAATGAAAATGTGTGATTAGGCTCATGTGAGTTTTTCTGATCACATTTTGTCTGGTGTCTGTCTATCCGTCTGTTGGTAAACTTTTCACATTTTCGACTTCTTCTCAAGAACAGCTGCGCCAATTTCAATCAAACTTGCCACAAAGCATCCTTGAGTGAAGGAGATTCAAGTTTGTTCAAATGAAGGGCCATGCCCTCTTTCAAGAGGAGATAATTGGGAGTTAGTGAAAAAATAATGGCATCTTTTAAAATTCTTCTTCTCACTAGCTAGGCCAGGAAAGATGAAACTCATGTGTAGGTGGTGTAGATTCAAGTTTGTTTAAATCATAACCCTGGGAGGTAGGGTGGGACAAAGTTTTACATAGACATAATTATATAGGAAAATAATGTTAAAAATCTTCTCAAAAACAACAAAGCCATGATTGTTCATATTTATACGGAGGCATCCTCAGTTTGTGTAGATTCAAATTTGTTTGATTATGACCCCTGGTAGGGTTGGGCCACAATGGGTGATCAAAGTTTATCATTGGAATACATAGGAAAATTCTTTAAAAGTCTTCCTTTCTAAGAACTGCAAAGCTATGGTTTGTCATATCTTGATGGAAGCATCATTAGATAGTATACACTTATTTAATGACTACGCGGTAAACAGTCAAACTGTTGTCCCGAGGTAGTGGGGAAGACCTGGGAAACTGTTGCTCTAGGCAGAATTGGAATAAAAACACACAATCAATAAACAGTTTTAACAACTGTTTATTCACATTCTTTTCTATTAATTAGCTGAACACATAATATAAAGTAATAAATATTAAATCAATATTTAATAATTTAAAGTAATATTTAAGAAATTGATTGATTGATTGTTTGTGTGTTTTATTTCAATTTAATTAATTATAGAGCAGGTAAATAGTGATGTCGTGATCATCAAAACGCTTTAAACAGGCAACAGTTCATTCTGTGACTCCGTCAACAGTTCAACTGTTTCATGATCGTGCAAAAACATAAAATAAACCGTGAAAAAGTTCAAAATGCCTAATTACAGTTTATATAGTAGGTTAGGTAATAATGTTGATTCAGGTTCTTTCAATTTATGACTCCAGGGTGTAGGGTGGGCTACAATGGTGTGTATTTATGTTTTATCTTTTTTCTCAAAAACAGAAAAGCCATGATTATTATATATTAAGTTTGGGGGGTATGGAGGAATCACCCTCCGTCTGTCTGTCCATCCGTCTGTCTAGCTGTCCGTCTGTCTAGCTGTCCATCTGTCTGTGCAAAATGTGTGCGGTCCATATCTTTCTTACGGAGGAACATTAGAATCTACTACTCCATTCAAAGATTGCCCATGACCTTGAAGGTCATTTGAGGAAGTTCAAGGTCACTGGAAGAAAACATTCATAATTTGTGTCCCGTCCATATCTTTCTTATGGATAAACTTGGTAGGTTCTAATTTCACACAAAGATTGCACATGACCTAAGGGTGTGTCATGACCTTAACCCAAGGTCATTTTAGGAAGTTCAAGGTCACTGGAAGAAAAATTTTATAATTCGTGTCCAGTCCATATCTTTCTTATGGATAAACTTGGTACGTTCTAAGTTCACACAAAGATTGCTTATATCCTAAGGGTGTGTCATGACCTTGACCCAAGGTCATTTTGGGAAGTTCAAGGTCACTGGAAGAAAAATTTCATTATTTGTGTCCAGGCCATATCTTTCTTATGGATAAACTTGTACGTTCTAATTTCACACAAAGATTCCTCCTGACCTAAGGGTTTGTCATGACCTTGACCCAAGGTAATTTGGGGAAGTTCAAGGTCGCTGGAAGAAAAATGTCATAATTCGTGTCTGGTCCATATCTTTCTTATGGATAAACTTGGTAGGTTCTCATTTCACACATAGATTCCTCCTGACCTAAGGATGTGTCATGACCTTGATCCAAGGTCATTTGGGGAAGTTCAAGGTCACTGGAAGAAAAATGTCATGATTCGTGTCTGGTCCATATCTTTCTTATGGATAAACTTGGTAAGTTCTCATTTCACACAAAGATTGCTCATGACCTAAGGATATGTCATGACCTTGGGTCAAGGTCATTTGGGGAAGTTCAAGGTCACTGGAAGAAAAATTTTATAATTTGTGTCCTGTCCATATCTTTCTTTATTATGGAAAAACTTGAATCTACTACTTTCACACAAACAGCGTTTATGAACTTAGGTTGTGTCATGACTTTGAACTAAGGTCATTTATGCAAGTTCAAGTTCACTGACAGAAAAAGTTCATAATTCGTGTCTGGTCCGTATATTTAGTCTATTCTTTTTATTAGGCTGCGCCTTCGTTTCATTTATAAAAAAATATAATGAGCAATTTTAATACAAACATTTTGGAGGTAGTGAGGATACAATTTCTGGTCAAATTCTGGTCCTCAAGGGTTAGATTGAGTAACATTAGACAGGTCGGAGAGAATACTTGAAATCGGGTATTATCCGTGAAATCGCGTATAATACCCGATATTAGGGTATCGTTGAATCTGTGAAATCGGGTATTCTGTGCAACTTTCTATAAAAACAAAAGAATAAAGCAACGGCGCATTATGCCAGTTACTGTTACTTGTACATCAGTATCTTGTGTGTTTATTTTTATTAAACCTAATTCATACGGTTGTCAAATAAGTTTAAAATCACACGATGAACACTGCTGGGGTAACAATTAAAGAGGACACAATGGCGTTATTATTTTTTATATAATTTCTAAAAAACAAATAACTACACTTCGTTTGTCTTTATTTCCCATTTAAGTATTCCATA